ATCACCCCTAAAACACAGGACTCACGAGCAACACAGATCACCCCTAAAACACAGGACTCATGAGCAACACAGATCACCCCTAATACACAGGACTCACAAACAACACAGATCACCCCTAATACACAGGACTCTCGAGCAACACAGATCACCGCCAAACACTCGTCTTGAGTAAGTGAATACTTGGGACTGTTCTTAATGGGCTCTGGTCTTTCTGTTAACTCATTCAGAGGTGTCCACGCCCTCAAAACAAAACGTTGACTCTAACCCTTTTTAATTTGTCCTTCAGATGACAAACCCAGCCATTCAGAATGATTTCAGCTACTACAGGAGGACCATCAGCAGAAACCGACTAAACAACCAGCAGGTAAGTTGGACTACTGGAGTGGAAGATGATGAACTCTGACCTGGCAGTGGTTCTTCTGCTTCCTGCATTACTGCTAAGGTGCCTTGTCGGCTGACTGACCGGGCCCCCGTTCTTTCTCCTCTCTTCCTCCAGCTGGACGCGGAGAATGAGGTCAACAATGAGATGGCCAATCGCATGTCGCTGTTTTACGCGGAGGCCACGCCCATGCTGAAGACGCTTAGCAACGCGACCACCAAGTTCGTGTCTGAGGTGCGACCCCACTCGTCCCGCTGCTTGCTGTTCCGAAGAAAAAAAAACCTCCACTCCATGACTGTTCGCGTGCTGCTCTGTGAGAGAGATACAGTGTCCCTGTTTGTCTCTCAGCGAGGCGAGCTAGTTTTAAAATCACTTTTCCCTGTCAGTGATAAAACTTGTGTAATCACCTAATGCAATCAACTGATGGCACAGGTTGGGGTCTCTGCCACCTCTTGCCAGGAGTGTTGAAAGCACCTTTCTTGCAACTGCATGACCCTCCTCCTGAGGGTCTGGTTCTGGTGTAACTAGGAGGCTGACCTGGTAGCCTTTGGGTGTCGTTGCAGAACAAAACCCTGCCCATCGAGGACACGACGGACTGTTTGAGTACCATGGCGTGTGTGTGCCGAGTCATGCTGGAGACTCCGTGAGTTACCTTTGTCTCGATGCACTTTTACTCACTTCTTTAGCCCAGCTCCTGTCTCGGGGGGGGGCGTCTGCAGTCCGGTCTCGTCAGTCACCGGGACCAGAAGAGCTGAGGGAAGGTGGTTCAGTTTGTCCAGTTAAGCCAGCAAACTGTGGAATCAGGGAGACTTCCAGTGAAACTGCACCCACTCCAGCTTGTTTATCCTGGATTAGTTTGTAATTAACTGCAGAAACCTCAATGCAGATGAGCTAGAAGGAAACAAAAAGAAGTTTTTTTCAGCTATGCCAGTGCTTTTATTTATGTCTTCTTAGCAGAGTTGGCATGTTTCCTACCTGAGAGGTCACGGTAGTGTCCCAGTGACGTGGTGGTAGCAGCAGTGGACATGTGGTAGCTGTGAGCTGTGATATCAGTGCTGATCCGATAGGGCTCCTGTGTTTCTGCCAGGGAGTACAGATGCCGTTTCACCAACACGGACACCATGCTGTTCTGCATGCGGGTCATGGTGGGAGTCATCATCCTGTATGACCACGTCCATCCTGTGGGCGCCTTCGCCAAGACCTCAAAGATTGACGTGAGTCCCCCTCCTGCCTCTCCCCGCATTTGCCCCCCACTGCACTTCAAGTCCGGCTCCCACAGAGCTTTCAGGCTTGCTGCCTGATGAGACTAGCCTTCAGAAAGAATGAGCACAGTGTCCTAAGAACCGTGGAAGGCCTATTCTTCCAAAAGAAAAACACCAAAAAAAGTTTGAGCCAGCCCAATCATGGTCAATCTACAGAGTGACGCCAATCATGTGACCTTGACTGGTCAGACAACGTTTTTTAAACTCCAAAGCGGTGTGAACTGGGCTCCCAGAACTAAAAAATGATCTGAAAATGAATTCGGGCCTCGTGTTGAAAAATAAAGCTTGTCATGTTGAACCGGAATGGAACATGGCAGCCAGTGCACACTAATGTGTCATATCATGGGTCAAAGGACAGCTACACCGTGATCACACAGCTTTAAAGGGGGAAAAGAAGTTGGCAGCATGCTGTACTGGCTACTACGTTGTGTCACAGTTTAGGCAATAATGGGCCTGATTTAATTAATGTGAGCAAAATAAGGCTTTAAGCCTCAGAGCCGCAACCCTTTATATGCATCAGGTATGAAACTGAGGTGCTGGTGACCTATAGTTCTATAGATAAATGTCTATTCAAAGCAAATTGCCGCTGTATATGACCGTGCCACTGTGCTGTGCTTTTGATGAGCGCGGTGAGGGGGCTGGAGTCGGGCATGGCTGACCTTTACTCTGAAGAGCCCTGTCTGTGCCTCTGTTCTCTGCAGATGAAAGGCTGCATCAAGGTGCTGAAAGAGCAACCTTCAAACAGCGTGGAGGGACTGCTGAACGCCCTGAGGTGGGTGCTGGGGGGCGTGGGGTGCACGCTGGTCACTCGGGGGGAGGCCGTGCGGACGGGGGAGGGCTGGGATGGGGCGGCAGGCTTTTAGGTTTTGAGCTTGAGCAGAAGCTCAACTGAAAAACAAAAAATGGAGCAGGCCGTTAGGGGCCAGGTGTACAGCTGATGTAAGCAACACCTGCCGGATCTGGAAACATGCGCAACATCTGCAAACAGCCAAAGCCCAAAGCAGAAACCATCCTCACGACTGAGCAGGTTTCATCCTCCCGATTAAAAAATAATCTGTAGCATTAAAACCTCAAGGTGTCACCCTGAGGGACAAGATCCCTACCTGAACATCCAGAGTGGGTTTGCTCGGACACTATGGCAGGGACTGGTCAAGGAGAGCCCACACATACTTAATGAGATTTATGGTGCTGTATTGCAGCCCCAGGGCCCTGGGGCTTGATTCCAAACATGGGGTGCTGTCTGTGTGGAGTTTGTATGTTCTCCCCGTGTCTGTGTGGGTTTCCTCCCACAGTCCAAAACCATGAAGCTAGGTTAATTGGCTTCTGGGAAGACTGGCCTGGGGTGAGTGTGTTCGAGTCAGTGTCTGCGTGTGTCCTGTGATGGACTGGTGTCCTGTCCAGGCTGAACTGTATCTGCCTTGTGCCCATTGCTTGCTGGGATATGCTGCAGCTCTGCCATGACCTTGTACTGGAAGAAGCAGTTACAAAATGGATGGAGGAATTAGAGTAGAACTTTGAGGCAGTACGGATTTATATTCGCACAATAGGAAAAAGACCGTGTCCTGATCATAGCAGAGAGTTGGCAAGGAAGGACCTTTTCCTGAAGTCTTGCCACTGTAATCCCAGCTTTTCCTGCTGGAAAATGCGGTTTTGCTGGAGTGGGAAAACCGTTGGCGCTTCTTGCACGTGCTGCTGAGGGGGTGGGTTTGCCCTCAGTCTGCGCCCGAGGCGTCACTGTGCTGGAGGAGATTCCTGCCCGCGTCATCACCCTCTCACTGCGTCGCCGGCTGCCTCGAGCAGCCTGCAGCACACCTCAGTGCCTCCTCGCACGGAATCTCCACTCCGCTCCGCCAAGGACAAAATAGCCTTCACCAGGGAATAAATCCCCCCCTCCAGCCTTCTACAGCCCACCCAAGCTCTTGACTCTATCTCTCCGCAGTCATCGGCCATGCAATCCCAATCATTCCTGCCTTGGGACAAGCTGTCGGCAACGCCAACCCGACAAATCAACAAACCTCACACTGGATGTGTCTGACGAAACACCCCTGTAAAACTGCAACTGGCGTGTTCATGAAACACAAACCACAAGGCACAAGTGGCAATTAAGTGGAAGCTGATACTCCGGATTCTTTCAAGGAACAGCTGGAAGAGATTCTTGAATCATTTAACTACTAAGCACCTAACAGGCTGGAAGTGTGCTTGTATATATACTGGACTGTCTCCACTCTAAGTGGTGTAAATAAGATCACACGCTCATCTGTCAGAATGCCAGCTGGGTTTCGCATTTTGTCTGGAAAGGCTCATGCTTGTCTGGCAGCCACTGATAACCTTTTATTCACAGCAATAACAACTCCAGCTCTCCTTCCTGCAGGTACACCACACGGCATCTAAACGACGACAGCACCTCCAAACAAATAAGGGCCATGCTGCAGTGAGGGGGAGGAGGAGCGGGAGGAAGAAGCAACAGGAGAGAGGTTCCTGGGAGACCGCCAGGGGACAAGCAGCGTGGCAGGTCTCTGCACCCCGACCTCACAAGCGTGTTTGTTTACATAAATTTAAATGCAAGATAATTTCAATGTCAATAACCTGAAAAGGAAGAAGAAGAAAAACAGTATATTGTGTATTGCTCATCTCCATGTCTCTCATTTTGTAAAAAACAAAATAATTAAAAAAAGGTACAAAATGAAAATAGATAAGAGAAATTAAAGTATATTAAAAGTTTAAACTTTTTAAAAAGTCCATATACTTGGTTCCTGCATCAGTATGATAAGTAAGCGTGAAGAGTATTTTTGCACTCAGTGGAAATGCCATCACCTGATCTCGCTGTGAAGAGCTAGAAGGAAGTGTACAGTCAGTCTCAACACAACTGCATTTAATCCTTTTGATTTCGAGCCATTGCCTCATTTAGGAAGCCCTGCAGCCTCCACTGGTCACTGTTCAGTGCAGATTGCGCAGGTGAGAGACCTGGCCCTCCAGCCCTGCCCACAAGCCCGCAGACTCCCCGTTTCCTTAAGACAGGTACACCACTACAGTCTCAGCAAGAAAAACACTTGTAGAGCAAGCAGGCTTTTTAATTGGGCTTACAAATAATGTGCATTCTGCTGGTAAGGCTATGAAATGGTTTAAAAGTCTTCGAAATGTACTGGAATATTTTAAAGAGCTTTTGATTTAAGACAATGAAGTGTGATCCCCAAGGGCTTGCTCCGATAACCTATTTTTTTTGTCTCAGGCTTTCAGTAAAGACGTTCCTGGTTTTGGTACTGTTAGCTAAGTGATGGAACTGTAGGCCCTAAGAAGAGGCTGTAGAGTGATGCAATGCAATGGAGAATTTGGGGACAAAAGAACAATTACAAATAAAAAAATGACCTCATTATAAATGCAACAGATGTGATCAAATATACTGCAGAAAGACTAAAATTCGAGGTTTCTGTTAAGAGCTCATTTCCTTTATCGCTAGATTATTGTTGCTGGAATGTCCTGACCTGCTCAGTTTGAGACCAGAGCTGGTTTGAGTTAGGCCTTAGTGGGGCTACAGTATTACAAGGTTGCAGCACAACAAGGAGTGTTGGGAGCCCTTTCTGAACGGGTGCTAGCAGATCTAATCACTTAGTAGCTAGAGACCTGTGTGGGCCGTGCCTCTCACCTCTGAGGGGCATTCATAGGGAAAACTAGGGTCACCGCCCTGGTATGAAGCAGTCATGGCATAGAGCACACCCAAATCCAAACCATTAAATCCATCAAACTTTTATCTCATAGATTTAAAGGCATTTGAAACAACAATAATATAGAAGCAGTCATGTGGAACTGCTAATATAGAAGCAGTCAGGTTATTTCTTCAATCAGGAGAGTTGAATAATTTCCAGCGTGCCAAGATGGCAAATTGACAACAGGTTTTCTACCAATATCAGCACAACTTCCCTGACCCCTGACCCCTGACCTCCACGCCAGTCCTTTCACAGGACATGACTGGTGTGAGGAGAGAGAGCAGACTCTCAGGCTTAACGTTATTCCACAAACTGTTTACACAATCTGTTGAAAATAAAAGAGCTCAAGACCAAGGCTCTGACTGCAGTTAAAAGCATGCTTATGAGTTAAGATTGCAAAACAGCAGAGGCAAAGATTAACTGGAAAAAAATCGAAGGAGATGAAGCAGTACTGTACCGTGGATGTGCATAGCCCTAGAAAGTTTAAATTGATCTTATAATATATTTTATATACACGTATATGTGTACATTCATATACTGTATAAATATATAGATGGCATGTTGTAAAAGTCCTGGCAGATCTTGTAAATAATGTGTTTTTATTCATTTTTATTGTTCAAGTAAATCTGGATGGAGTAGGTATTGTCTTTCTAACTCATGGATTGCCTTGGACCTCTGATCACAGTCTTTAGTCATAGGGTTTTAGATTTCTAATCATAATTGATGAAAGAACAGAGAAAAGTGTCCATTTGCTTGTTATTTTGTACATTCTGTGCAACAATAAACTTGTCATTTAATACATTCAACCCTGGCTCCCTGTGTTTGACTGACGTGACGTGCCAACACTGCCGCCTGGCACACAGATACAGAGCAGGAGTGTGGAGTTCTGGACTCAGGAGTGGCAGTTTGCAGGTTCAGATCCCAACTGTGGTACAGCTGTTGTACCCTTGAGCAACACTCACATCGCTTCAGTAAAATGCCCAGCTGTATAAATGTGTATGTTGCTTTGGATCCAGACACCAGAAAGGAAAGAGGAAACAAATAACTGTGATATATGAGCAGCTAACACGATGTTAGGGATTCAGTCTTGCCTGTATTCACTGGGGCAAAACTGAAAAACCCTCATGTGTCCAGGGATCTCAGGAGCTCTTCAGAGCAAAGTAAATTCCCAATCTGATTAAAGCACTCCCTTTTCAGCAAATGGCTGAATTTGTATCCCTTTCCCTCTCTGCACCACCCCTCTCCCAACCAACTTTGCAACCAATATTGCATCACCCTTTGCCTTATTCAATGCAACTCAATTTGGGGGCAATATACAGTATGTTTTTTGTATTAGAGCCTTTAAAAATACAAGGAATGGAATAGAGAGCAAGTCCTTCTAGTTGACTCAGTAGAGGTCATGCTGTCATTTTGTCTGTTCAGAAATCTCCTTTTGCAATTATTGTTCCTATTGCTACACAGAATCTGGTACTTGTGATGGCAGAGCGCCATCTTCTGGCCCAGATGGAAACTAAGCATCTTACTGAAGACCAGACAGCTCGTTCTTGCTCCACTAAAAGGCCCAGCCATACAGATGGGGTTCAAACATACGTTTGCATTACAGTTACCAAACCATGAATTAATAATAATACACCCTGCGCTTTCAGCTCAAACGGGAGCTGGGGGTGGGTGCTGTAAATCAGGGGTTCCCAGTCTGCTCTGGGGTTCCCCCACACACCTGCTGGTCTCTCTTGCAGCAGAGCTCCTTACTAAAAGGGGTCCTTGACTGAACCTGCAAGGAGCTTGGTCAGA